AAAGAAGGTAAGAAGTCCTATTTTTGTGAAGTATTTATGGATGAATTGATATAGTGTGTGGGATTTGCTTTAAAAGAATTAAAGCACAGGACAGTGGTGGGGTGCAGATGAAACAAGTTTGGCCAAATATTGATAACCATTGAAGCTGGGTGGTGGGCACACTGGGGTATATTATATTATATTATATTATATTATATTATATTATATTATATTATTGTAATTATAATTTCAGTATTATATTATATATTATTAGATTAATTTTGTTATCTCTACATTTGTATATGCTTGATATTGTCCATAACAAAAAAATTATTTTTTAAGAATTTAGAAGTCATATCAACCAAATGCAATGTGTTGACCTTGTTTGAATCCTAAGTGAGCAAACCAACAATAAAAAGATATTTATGGGACAATTGGGGAAATTTGAATACTGACTAGATAATGGGTGACATTAAGGAATTTGGAGGAGAAACTTTTTTTGATGTTATGATAGTTCTGTGGTTATGCAAAAAAGAAGTTGAAGATAAAAATGGAGGAGGAGAAGGAGAATAAGAAACGCAGCCACAGCAATGACCACATCCGGCACACAGATCTTTCTTCGTTTTCCACTCAAAGGTAGAAATGGCTTATTCTTCAGCATGGGACATTTTGTTGTGCCAAAAAGTAAGACAGAGTTCAAAGACGATGCGGACATATCAAAAATACAGGAGCCAGCTTGAAAGGACTCCCACTGACCCTATCTTGGACAATTTGAGCACTAAAATAAATAATGATAGCAAAGCATTACAATCCATTGGATAAAATAAGAGTCCGTGAATCCACGCAGACAAACAAACAAACATTTTCCTTATATTAGAAGACCAACTAATAAATGTATAAAGAATGATGGTATTAGAAAATTACCATTTGACAACCATCATTATAATACCTGAATCATGCAAAAATCAATAGATGCCATAATGAATGCATAGGTGAAAGTTTGAGGAGTGACATAAAATTAATGTAGTCTTAATGTACCTCTCCATAAGATATTTATTAATTAGAAAGGGGAAAAGTAGTAATTTAAACCTGACAGACACCACCTTTTTTTTTTTTTTAATTTTATTTATTTATTTATTTTTTCCCCCAAAGCCCCAGTAGACAGTTGTATGTCATAGCTGCACATCCTTCTAGTTGCTGTATATGGGACACGGCCTCAGCATGGCTGGAGAAGCGGTGCGTTGGTGTGTGCCCGGGATCCGAACCTGGGCCGCCAGCAGCAGAGCGTGTGCACTTAACTGCTAAGCCACGGGGCGGGCCCTGATAGACACCACCTTAACCAAATGATCAACGTTAACATCATTAATAACAGGACAAATTGACATCATGTGCCTCCTGATATGATGCACTAAGAACTCAGCATCACATTTGTGCTATTCCTGCCTCAAGTGTGTGACCTGAATCCAACCGTGAGGAAACATAAGACAACTCAAACTGAAAGACGAGAAAACTGGCTAGTAATGTTCAAGACGTCGATGTCATGAAAGACAAAGAAGGAGAGGAACTGTTCCAGATTGAAGAAGATCAAACAGGTATGATAACTGAATGCGATACACAATCTGGGATTTTATTTTCCTCTATTATTGCAATATTTGGTGAAATCTGAGTAAGTTATATAGATTAGATAATGATATTCAATCAATATTAATATCCTGATTTTGATAATTGTATAGTGGCTATCTAAATGAATGTCTTTAGTTTTAGGAAAGCACACAGTGAAATATTTAGGGATGAAAGGGCATCATATCTGCGACTTACTCTCCAACGGTTTAGGAAAAAGAGAGAAGAAGAAAGAATGAAGCCAATGTGATGAAATGATATCATTTGAGGAACCTGGGTGAGAGGCTTATGGGAATTATTTGCAATTTTCTGTAAGTCTGAAATTATGTCAAAATAAAAAGTTGAAAAGAAGTGAAAAAAAAAACCTTGAGAGTAAAATCAACCAACTCAACCCCTCCCCACCCCAAAAGAAAGGAGGTTATTAGTGGGAATGTAAAATGGTGCAGCCACTATAGAAATCAGTATGGTGATTTTTCAAAAAATTAAAAATTGAATTACCATATGATCCAGCAATTCCATTCCTGGGTGTACATCTAAAAGAACTGAAAGCATGATCTCAAAGAGATATTTGCACTGTGCTAATAGCAGCATTATTCACGGGAGCTGAGATGTAGAAGCAAACCAAATGTCCATGGACGGATGAATGGATAAAGAGAATGTGGCATATATATCATAGAATGGGATATTATTCAGCCTTAAAAAGGAAGGAAATTCTGACACATGCTGCAACATCTATCAGAACATGGTGAAGCTTGAGGACATTATGCTGAGTAAAATAAGCGAGTCACAAAAAGACAAACACTGTATGAATCCACTTATGTGTGGTATTTAAAGTAGTCAAATTCATGTTAATAGAAAGTATACTGGGCCGGCCCCGTGGCTTAGTGGTTGAGTGGGCGCGCTCCGCTGCTGGCGGCCCGGGTTCGGATCCCCGGCGCGCACCGACGCACCGCTTCTCGGGCCATGCTGAGGCCGCGTCCCACATGCAGCAACTAGAAGGATGTGCAGCTATGACATACAACTATCTAGCGGGGCTTTGGGGGGAAAATAAATAAATTAATTAAATCTTTAAAAAAAAAAAAAAAGAAAGTACACTGATGGTTGCCAGGAGCTTTGGGGAAGGGGAAATTAGGAGTTCTTTAACGGGTGTAAAATTTCTACTTTGCAAGATGAAAAAGTTCTGGACATCTGTTGCACAACAATGTGAATGTACTTAATCCTACTGAACTGTACACTTAAAAATGGTAAAGATGGTAAATTTTATGTTTTTTACCATAATTTTTTTTAAAAGCTCTTCAGTTTTAAAAAAGAGGTTAACAGTGAATTATTTACAGATGAAATTATATAATGTATGGGGAGGAATAAAGGCTATAGATGAAACAAGACTGACTATACATTGGTAATACTGAGGTTCAGGGGTTGGTAACGTGGAGTTGCATTATATCATTCTTTCTATTCTTATATATGCTCGAGATTTTCCACTGAAAAAATTTCTCCACTTCAGACTTCATAAAATGAAATTTAGATTCTGTGAGATTGCCCCATATCTTTACTCAACTTTATTTATTGATGACTTTTGACCATTACTGAGTTTCACAATTAAATGAGAATTAGAAAACTAGAATCGTGTGTAGAGATCTCCAAAGATTTTTAGAGAGCTGTCAAGAAACTGAGAATCTCCAACACAAAGAAGTGCTACGTGGTTCAAAATATAACTTTAATGATAATTTTTAATATCAATGCTTGAGAGTGAGAGTAATGTACAAGAGCAAGCATGGCTGCAGAATAGTCTGGACCAGTAAGTTGTATAAATTAAGCAGGGAGCTAAATTCTGCTGTTGCCTAAATTAGGAAGGAGCATGAAGAAAGGAGGAAGTAGTTGGGAAGAGTGTCTGGGGGATTTGCATGTGTACACGCGGTGCAGTGTTGCTTGAGTTACTGACCAAAGTCTCCAGGGGAATCAAACAAGAATGTCCCTTGTCGCTCGGAGGTCGCAATGAGCGCATAGCATGTTCACTAGTCCTTCTGTCTCCACAAAACTAGCCACATTAACGCTGGTTTCTTGTACTAGGAAACTTTTTATGTCTTTCTAGCACCCAAGCCTGTGGTTTCAGAAATGAGGAAGAGGTGCGAGATGATGGTGGAGCAGTGTGCCTGGACCAGGTTGTGCAGGGCCTTAAATTTCTTTCTTTATGTTTTCTGCTACTAATAAATGACTATATTGTCATCACAAGAGTGAAACCTACATCAAAGTACTACTGAGCAAAACTGAAATTTCCCTTCACTCCAACTCTCTACTTCCACTCCCCACGCCCTAAGGGAACCACTACCCTCAGCTTGGCATGCAGCTTTCTTTTCTTTCTTCCAGTTCATAGTTGACCTGCAAGCCTCAAATCAGAACGAGAAAATCCTAAGTCCAGATCTGGTGGTAGTTCTGGGGTCTCCCGGTACCCTGTGTTTACATGTCAGCACCTCGCACCGGGAGCTGTGACTGGCCATTTGCCATCTGTTGGTCTCATAGATGGTAACCTCCTGGTGGCCAAGGCTGGGTTTTACTAAATTTTGTTGTCCTGAGCTTGGGGAGGCCGGGGCAGGGAGGGGGCATTCACAGATTGTTTACTGAGGGCACTGGGTGGAGGAGGGGCAGGCTGCCTGGACAAATTTGGTCTGCCTTTCTCGGGCCGGTTCTTACTCAAGGGATATTTAAGGGGCCGGCCTCTAAGTAGGGGCCCAGTCAGGTCATACAAACTCTGGCGGCCTGAGCTGAAGCCTCCCCAGTGACAGAAACGCATCAAAAATGCACTAAAGCAACACGGCCTAGTGGGAATGGCCCTGGACTTGCAGGAAAGATGCAAGGAAGCCGTGGGACTTCATGTCCCCTCTCCGAGCCTCGTGTTCCTCTTCCTACAGAGGAGGAAACTCCTAATAATGGGATTTATAATATCCGCTCAGCTTGGGTGAAGAAACTTTTGCAGACTAAATCAGGAGCAAGGTCTCCGCAGCGACCACCCCTCAGTGCGCCCGAGGCCGGGCTGCCCGCGCGCCGTGGCCCGGTGCCCATTCCGGCCACCTGGTCCAGTCCGCTTCCCTCTAGAGCGGC